TAATACTTATTTTCATATAAAATAAATCTAAAATTGTTTTGATCTACGGATGGAGAATTACTGGGAAAAACATAATCCACATATTACAGGAAACACCCATCCAGCCCCTTGAAAGGAGCCCCGAGAGGCTAAGCGACCGGTCCGAGGCCACCGGGCTAACCGAAGCGGGGGCTGGGATGAGCGTCCGAGTCCTGAGACCCAGGGCGGTCTCTGCAGCCCCACCTGGATCTACACTGGGAGCTTCTGATGCTTAGTTGATGCAGACCGCAGTCCCCAGAGGGTTGAGCTTAAAGGCAGGGGAGTTTTAACCACCGGAAAGAGGTGGGAATGAGCGTCCTTGTCCCCAGGTAGAGTGCAGGGGTGTGATGATGCCCCAAGCTGACTGATGAGGGCAATGCTAATGGTGACGAAGGTGACAATGATGACAGCCAGCATCTCCTGGGCCAGCCACCACGTTGAACACTTCATACGCATCGTCCCAACTAATCGTGTGAGCTAAGTATTGCCATCCCCATTTAACAGACAAGAAAGCTGAGGCTCACAAAGGTTAATATCTTGATGAAGGTCACACAAGCAAGGGACCCAGGGTTCAAGTGCAGATCTTTAACTCCCTAAAGCCACAGTCCCAACCGTTAATGCTGTCCCTCCTGTCACGGGATGTGCGGGCATCAAGATGCCTTCCTCCCCTGGTCTGGAGAGAGAGTCCTCGAGTTGGGAGGGTAGTTATCACCCACCAAGGTCCTAATTTGTCCTCCCTGCTCAGGTACGAATCATTTATCTGGTCCGTCAGCAGACCATTTAAGCGAGGCTCAGAGTTCAGCCTAGCGGAGGAGAAGGACTCATGCGTGTGAACAGAGCGAGATCTGTAACCTGGGGGAGAGAAAGGTGCAAGTGCGCAGGGCTTCATGAACTTGCCCGCCGTGTAGACCGACACCGTCCCTTCCCCAGGGGGCACTGGCAGGAGACGCTCCAGGTGTTTTCCCACCTGCTCCTGCATCCCAGGAGCAGGCACCAGGTCCCCGCCCCCTAGTCCTCAGGCTGGGTGCTAGGCTACAGAAGGAAACAGTCTGCCCACCAAAAACAGGCAGACTGTCCACACGAACCCCAAAAGCTCAGGAACTGGGGCGCCAGGGACCTGGGCAGGAGAAGTGGACGACGGGACCGCGAACAGGGCTGGCTGGAAGTTTCTATGAACAGCACCCGGCTCCCTCCCAGACCCTCGACTCCACTCGGGCAGCCGGGAGAAGCAGGGAGAAGCCGGGAGACTCACTCTCCCCCATCACACTGGCAAAATTTCAAGCACCGATCATGCCAAGTGTTGGAGCAGCTGTGGGCAAATGAACTCCCTGCAACGTGCTGACCGGAGGCGGTTCGTAGCGGCCCCTCAGCAGCGCAGTTTGTCGGCTTCTCCCATAAAGCAGCTCACACGCCCTGCCAGCCCAGCTCCTCTTTCCCACTCACCCCCAGGCAGGAACCCCGGCTCCGCACACTCATACTCGAGGAGGCACATCAAAGGGTGGTCTCAGGAGCGCGGTTTGTGATCCTGGAAAGTCAGAAACAACCACTAGCAGGGAGATGTTGAGTAAACTATGCAACTGCCACATTATGCCGGAAGGAATTAAACAGAATGAGCAATGTCAGCATACAGTGCCGTAAAAACTCTCAAGAACCAGCTCTTGGGTCAAATGAAAGCAGCGAGGGAGCACCGCTTACGCTAAGATACACTAAGGTAAATTAGTGCTGACGCACACTGCAAAGACGGCCTGTCTCTGCAGGCGCCCATCAGCACACACGGAAGGAAGGAGCCACGCCGGCCGGACCGACAGCAGTGATGCCCTGGGAGAGAAGCCGACCAAAGGGGAGTGGTGGGGGGGTGGGGGAGCCAAGCTCATCTCTGCTGTCATCTCTGCCGTTCAACTTTTTTAAAGATTTTATTCATTTTTAGAGAGAGGGGAAGGGAGGGAGAAAGAGAGGGAGAGAACCATCAATGTGTGGTTGCCTGTTGAGTGCCAGCTACTGGGGACCTGGCCTGCAACCCAGGCATGTGCTCTGAATGGGAATCGAACCCACGACCCTTTGGTTCACAGGCCCACGCTCAATCCACTGAGCCACACCAGCCAGGGCTGCCGTTCAACTTTTTACAACAGGGCTGTATCTATGTGTTACTTGTTAACTAAAAACAAATAATTTCTTAAGAAACACAAAACAGTCATGGGGCTGTAAAGTACAGCACGGGGAATAACATTGTAATAACATTGTAATAACCACGTGCGGTGCCGGGTGGGCACTGGGCTCATCGGGTGACCCTTCGTAAGGTATGTGAATATCTAACCACTGCGCCACACACCTAAAACTAATATAGCATTGTGTGTCAACTGTAACTGAAAACTTTTTTAAATTTGTATTTTATTTTTTTAAAGATTTTATGTATGCATTTTTAGACAGAGGAGAGAAGGAGAAAGAGAGGGAGAGAAACATCAATGTGTGGTTGCGTCTTGCACACCCCCTACTGGGGACTTGACCCGCAATCCAGACATGTGTGCCCTGACTGAGACTTGAACTGGTGACCCTTTGGTCCGCAAGCGGACACTCAATCCACTGAGCTACACAAGCCAGGGCATTTTTTCATGTTTTAAAAACACTATATGATGGACATTTAGACCTGGCTGTATCTAATGTAGTGAACACTCCTTCCCCTCCCTGCACACAACGATGACACCTTCGTCCCCACTCACACCCATGGCACTCCAGTCTTGAGTCAGGAGGAGTGGCAGATGGGGGGAGCCGAGAGCCCCCAAGAGGTTTCTAGGTTCCTGCCCCCACTGCTCCCTTGCCCTGGTTTTTCCCTTTAAAAAGGAAGAGGATGGGAAGGAATGGGAAGGTGGCAGAACTTTTCAGGAGGGGTTTGGAAAGAGTCTGGGTGGCGGAGCCCCTTCAACCCGAGGACTTGGACTCGGGGGAAGCCCCTCCTGCCCTGGCTCCCCGAGGGTCAGAAGCTTCGGGAGCCCAGAGTCAGCCCTGCCGGCCCCGCACGGTGTCCGCAGGCTGCCCCCGTAGTGCACGGGACCCGCAGGGCTGGAGCAGGGGGGACGGCAGAGGGCACCCTCGGAGCCTGCAGCCAGCAGCCAGCACGTCAGCCCATGGGAGGCATTCCCCAGGGGTCTTTCTGAAATAAGTGGGGGAGACCTAGGGGTGCTGGGGACAGCAGCCACTATGTTGGCCACCATGCCAGAACTAGTAAGCCAGCAGGCATCTGGGCCTCAAGCAAACCGCTGGAATAAAGAGTGTGGGTGCTGGGAACTGTGTCTGCAAGGAGAGGTGGGCACTCTGGACGAAAAAGGGGCCACATCCCAAGCCTGACATGCTCAGGGCGGCCGGCATGGCGGACTCACACACTCGGAGACTGAAAGTAACCCCTCAGGGTGGTCAGAAATTAAAACTTTCCAACTAGAAGCAGGTCATGGCAGGCAGTCACGTCCGAGGACAAAGGTCACCCTTTACCTTAACTGCGCCTGTCGGTTGCCTTTTTTTGCACCCAGGACAACATACCTTTGGAATGTCGGAGTAACTTCCGTTTCTTCCCCAGACCTCCCGGGGCACAGCCGCACCAGAGCGGAGACTACAAACGCCCTCACTGGTATTGTCACCGTGTTCATTGTAGACTGTTCACTCCCTTACACCCACAAATGCGAAAGCAGTGTTTGTCTCTTCCTTTTACTTTTTGTCCAACCCCCGAGATTTCCCTGCTGTGCTTTCTCCTGCCTCCCTAATCCATCACCAGTGAGTCTCAGGTAACCCCCTTAGGTCTTCCCCTCCGATTCTGATGTGTAAAGTAAGGGGTGAAACTGCCAGTGGCCGGAGCATTTTCTCAATCCGTGCAGATCTTGCTCCCTGGCAATTGTTGTCATGAACTCATAAGGAAAGTTCTTACAGGTTCGGGTGTTTCTCACGTTGGCAGAACAAAAAGAGGGAGCACTCGCTTCTGCCCAGGAGCATTGAGGGATTTTCCAGAGGGCACGACCCTTGAGCAAGAGGCTGAAAGACTGGGAACTGTGAGTGTTGGGGGTGGGGGGTAAAAAGGACAGGGTCCAGGGAGAGCGAGCAGAATCACTGATAACGGCTAGGGGAGCATCCAGGGCTCAGTTCCTTGGGGGGCTGGGGGGTGAAGGGAGAGGTGGAGGAGGGGGTGGGAGGGTGGGGGGACTAGAACTCAGCCAAGGGGCTGTTGGACTTTATGCGGAAGACAATGGAAAGTCACAGCCATCAGGGATACAAAGTGGTCAATCTGACACTTTAGAAATTGCCACGGCTTCTGCATAGCGAGTGGGCTGCTGGGAGGGATGCAGGCACGGCCAGGGGTGGGGAGACCTGTTGAGAGAGAGAGCGCCAGCGTCTCCTAGTCGTGCGGGTGGAGAGTTGAGGACAGAGACAAGAGAGAAACAACAGGCCCCAAGGCCTTGCTCCGGCCAGGGGGTGAGAGCATGAGGCCGCAGGCCAGCAACCCAGTCTGCAGCAGCTCCTCTTGGCCACGTCCCACAAGTGGAGACCCAGGAAAGGTGAGGCAGGGTGGGCTGGGGCAGGCTGACCCACCGTGTTCCTCCTGGAGTCCCCAGAGGAGGAAAACCCAGACTGACTGGAACCTGGGCGGACCCTGGGGGAGGGGAGAGAGCGCCGAATCCTAGGAGAACTAACCCTTGTCCAGGCCGGTGGGGGAAGGGAGAGAGTCAGCTCCCCCCCCCCCCACCATCACATTCCACACCCTGGGAAGGACAGGGCTGCCCCACCCCTCCTGGCGACTGAGTGTTTGCTTGGTCAGGCCCAAGCTCCTGACCTCCAAGGAGGGGCCTGGCCGGTCCCTTGGTGGTGGGGGAGGGGATGGGGGGAGCTGGCCTCCTTCACCTTCCAGAATTTGGAAACTCTCAGTGAGTGGGTGTTATCGTTTTCATGGCAATATGCGTGTTTGCATAAATTCAACAAGAACTCCTTCTTTTTCTAACAGGACACGATGGGTAACTGGTTGTACTAAGCAAGACTCTGAGGGGCATGCCATGTTTGACGGGGACATGCGTGGACTCGGGTGTCACCAGGAAGCTTTAAGGAGTTAAGATAACTTGGGGGGCAAATAAACCCCCCCTGGGAAAGCAGCCCGGTACCTGGCTCACATGGCTCACAGCGGTCTTTCCAGGTAAGGAACGATGGTGGTCTTCCGGGCGATGGCACAGAAAGAATGTCAGGATGTTTGGGGGGACATGGAACCTGGGTCATTAACCCAGGTCTATAGGCCTTATAGGCAAAGGCAGACGGGGCGACTGTGTGGCTTGGCTTCTTAGCTGGGAGAGGCTACAGCTCAATCTGGAGATTCTGTTTGCAATTCCAGAAAAGCAGATTTGTAAAAGAGCCTCCATCATCATTATTCTTGTTGTGTTTATGCAAATAATCAGGCCAAGTTTATTGAAAGGAGGTATACAATAAATTAGCCTTCATTTGGTTACCGTTGATAAACATGAGGATGATTTTAGGAAAAGACATCGTGTTTCAGTAGAAACTATAATACACAGTTGTGGGCATTAGAAGCTAGTTCAGTCAATTCTCTTTAAAGTTTTATCTTTCACCTATAAACCGGACTTGAATTTTCCTAGTTTTCTTAACTATTTTAGCGACAACCCTCCAAACTAATGTTTTCTTTTTCTTCCACTACTTGCCTTGGAATTATGGAAAACTAAAATTGGTTGGGCTGGGTTTCTTTTCTGAGAAGTCGTGAGAAATCACCACAACAGCTCACGCTTCAACAATCTCAGTGACTGAGTCTGTGGAGCCACCCGGACAACTTACCTGAGAACCTGGTGACATCACCGGAGACATTCACACTGCGGACCAGGGGGATCCGTCAGAGCGTCGCTGCCTCCGTTCCCACAAAGGACACTTTGAGCCAGCTATGTAGACATTTTCTCAACTGACGGCCTCACAGACTCAGAAACTGGATTATAATTCGCTTTGACTGTGAACTCTGTTCTTTTATTTTTATGAGCACACCCCTGTTACATGTCTGACTGCTTGCTTCGACAATACAGATCTCATCACTTCAGGAGACCGCCTGCCTCGCTGCCTCCAGAAATAAGTCACTAAACCAACTTGAATTCTCAGGCCTGAGTTAGGGGATCAACGAAACGCAGAGCAACTTGCCGATTTAGCTTCTGGGGTGTGGCTGTTATTTCACTTATTGTCAAAGGAGGGCCTGAAGGGAATGAAAGTTTTGCTGCCCTAGAGCAGCATTTGGGGGACATGGAGTCCTAAGCTGTTTATTAAGAAACGAAAGACTGAGAAAGAACCTTTGGTCTTCACCCCCTTTCCTGCCCAAGAAATCCACAGAGAGGTAGGAGGAAGCATGTGCATTTTTGTAGCCTGTGTTCATTCCACCTCAGGCTCAGGAACTGAAATGGAACTTAGGTCAAGATGTTATCTTTAGCCTGAGGAGGTCTGGACTGTGTGCTCCCTGGTGAGGTCCCAGGTCCCAGCTACTGTCTTCTGCTGCCTTCAAGGTTGCTGATTATCCATGGGAGAGAGAGAATAAGAAGAGGGGAGGGGAGGGAGAGAGAGAGAGGGAGGGAGGGGCAGGGAGGGAGGGAGGGAGGGAGGGAGGGAGGGAGGGAGGGAGGGAGGGGTGATCTCTAGAACTATGACTTAAAGCTAAATTTAATCAAAGTCATAAGAACCCTTGGTTTCACTTCTGGACTTGGAGCTTCTAGAACAAAACAATCAAAAACTCCCTGCCCTCCTGAACTTTCACTCTGGGCCCGGGAGACACGATGTAATTCTAGGAACGAGGGGTGCGTGAGGAACAGCAAAGCCAGGCAGGGGTGAAGGGTGACCAGCAGGGAGAGGCCGATGTTACTGGACGTGTTACCGGACAGGGGCCTGGCCCTGAGTGGATCTGCCTAGGGCCAGTCAGCTTCGAGGAGACAACATTTAATAATACGAGTCCAGGGGACTATGAGAAAACATTTATTAAACATATTCACAAACGTCCCCATCCGCTGGGGACAGTGACACAAGGAAGGGCTGAGCACGGAAGAAGCAACAGCAGAACCTAGGTGGGCTGCCTCAGCTCACTGGGAAGTCAGGGAACAGGGGGCCCTGGGGACAGGTTCAGGGGATGAGCCCGGGACAAGCTGCCAGCTGCCCGTTGCCTTGGAGTTTAGGAGACTTGTGCTTGTGGGGGAAGAAGTAGGGGAAGAAGAAGGGAAAGGAAATGTCTGGGGCTGCTCCCCAGAGGGAGAGGGCGTGCATGCACCCTGGGTCCTTTGTCTCGAGGCTTTTATCTCTCTCTTGCAGGTGGGGATCTCAGGGGAGGTCTCAGGGGAGGGTTCCAGTAGAATATTCATCAGATCTCCAGGTGTGCCCTTTCAGGGTCGTGGTCTCCCCTGATTGGTCAGAGACAGGCAGGGGGTCTTTAGTCATTGCAGTTGGCTCTGGCACCGCCCACCTGGTTTTGCTGCATTTCTGGGCCTGGAGCTGAAATGCAGCTGAAGCCTGGATGTCATCATTAAAGAGGTGACCTTTCATATCTGGCTGTCAATTGCTCAGCCATTGTGTTCAGCTATCTGCCTCAGTTTCCCTCTTCCCCTGGCCAAGGAATTTTCCCAGCTTCCTACTCTCCTGTCTCAGACAAGACCTGCATGAGCCCAGGAGCCTTCCGACCCTGGGACCCACACAGCAGAGGCAAACTCCCTGGAGAACTCCCAGCAGCCCGTGGTGAGGGGGGGGTCCCTAGGGGAGGAGGTACAAGGGTCCGCAGTCTTATTAGGGGGCTGGGCTCGGAGCCAAGCAGCCCTCTGGAGAGTTGGACAGCTGACCGACCAGAGGCTCAGGAAAAGCCCAGGCGAGAGATGTGAGAGGAATCCACGGAAAGTGGCCTCATGGGGTTTATCCCGAAGGCAGAGCCCGCAGGTCAAGTTGATGGAATCACACCCAGCACGAGGGAGCGGGGGGAAGGGGGGAAGGAATTAAGGCGACTTCTAGCTTGAGACCCGAGCCTGGCAGTTGTGTTGGCTGCCATCAGAGGCCTGGACTTGATCAGGGACTCAAGAGTTGGAAAATGTTAGTTTAAGGTGAAATAGTTATAAGCCTAGAAAGTAATGCATATGTTAAAGCTTTTGTTTCCAAACCTACAGATGAGGCCCATCCCGGCTCCTGGGAGAAACAGCCGAGCTCCTGGGGCACTGGCTGCTGAAGGTTGCCGCCTGGGGCCAAGTGGAGGCCTCCGGGCCATCGTGTTCCAGGGAGCGACTGACGACCACCGGCCCCTGGGAACAGCTAGCTAACTGCCCAGGACAGGAAGGTTGCAGCTTCTTTTACCCAATCCTCCCTGAACTTCAGAACCCCTTCACCGCACCTTGTTTGTTCCCTGCTGTAAAAAGTCTGGCCTGGAAAGAGGAGACAAGATGGTCTGTTAGGGTGTGAACCCGCCACCTTCTCAGACCGCCGGCCATCTGAGTCAAGCGCCCATAGAGATTCAATCCCTGTCTCTGCTCATAGGGTTTGGTGGCCGGTGCCTCTTCTGGTTTCAGTCTGGGGCCCATTTGGCTTATCTGACCCCCCCTCCAGAAGGACAGTGGTCACCCCCAGGGTCATCCCGGATCTGCTTGGGAAGAAGTCCTGGCAGAATTAGGTTCTCACTGAGTTCTTCTCTTCACCAGGCCCGCACTGTGCCCATGCCTGCCAGTGCTGATGCCTTCTAGGGAGGGGAAAAGACGAAGGCTGGGTCCTCCCAGGCCCCGCCCTCTCGGAGCCCGCCGTCAGGGTGGGCAGTAAGGAGATGCCTTCTGCCCGGGGCCTGCGTTTTATGAATTTTCAACAAAGCCACAATGAACATGTATCACCTCTATGATGGGGGGGTGGGGGCAGGTGGAGGGTGCTTATATATATTCAAGTCTCACTTGCTCCAGGCTCCGCTGGTTTCTAGCTAGCAAGTAAGGGGGGGAAGATAATCAGGTTTGCCAAGTTTCTGGAAAAACTGCTTCTTCCCCAGAGAAGAAGGCAGCCAGAGGGGTGGAGGGGGGAGGGGACATCCTTGAGAGCAGCTGAAATTCAGAGCCGCTCTGGAGACAGAGTACTAAGCCCTCTGGCTGCCTCTGGTCCCTCCTGGCTCCAGCTGACTACAAGAGAAACATTCATTAGGCAGAAATGACAAAGAATGCCATAACCAGGCGGGCTGCCAGAAGCTGGGAACCCCAGGAATGCCCAGGCCGGGGTCTGATGGGGCAAATGCCCTTTTCCCAGAGAGAGAGCTGCTGAGACCCCACCCTCTGTCGGAGCCTGGGATGCAGGGGGCGTTTTGGTCAACGGACAATGGACTAGGAGGGAATGCAGGCCCCCACGTTCTGCTCCCTGCACAGGGCACTGACAGAGGACAAAACCTCATCAGGCACCTCACTGCCACTCCAGGCAGGACCCAGAGAGCGCCAACCCCAGCCCTCCCCAGGGTGCCCCAGCCCCAGCCCGAGGCTTCCCTCCCTGAGACCCAGCCCCCAATCAGTGTGTAGGAGGGTGCAGCCAGGGGGCCCCCAAAAGAAGGATTTGTAATGGGGTCCAGAACTCAAGGTGTCCAGGAAATATTAGATATATAGGATGTCCTCGCCCTCCACCACAGGTGTGGGTTGGGGGAAGGGGCACTTGGAGCAGGGTCATTGAGAGCTGTTTTGCATAGCAACAGCTTTGCAGCTAACCTCTGGCCTGGTCGTTTAGCACATCCATAACCTTTAACTGGTTGCATAGATATGCTAAATAGCTGTGGCCATGCTCTGAGCCAGGGGGACCGAAGGAACTTCCCCCCAAGATGTAACTGGGAGGCAACTCCCCCTAGTTACATCGCCTGCGTGAGAGCTTGGAGATGATTGGCTCCATGACATGGGGCCACACCTGCCCAGACTCATGATGGCAGCCCAGTAAAGCTGGAAGGATATGGGAGTGCTGGCAGGTGTAGCCGATTGTGGGAGGAGTCGGAAACGGGGCTGCAAAGGAAGATTGGCGCAGGGATTTAAACCCAGACTCGGCAGCCATTAAAGAGGGGGCCACAGCTAGTGGAGAGAGAGCCACGTTCCTTTGGTAGAGTGGGGACCCCCCCACCCCCCCAAGCCATGAGAAGAATCACCATGCGGCTTTAGCTGGAGATCCCGGTGACACAGCTGATGGTGCTGGGACCCGAGGGAGGCCTAGCAGCCGAGACGGATTACTGGGAAGAACCGGGAGCTGCCTGAGCCACGGACTTCTATTTCTTTTCCTGAGATACGGTACCCCAGACTGGGCAAAGGGGGGGAGGAAGGACTGTGTGTGTTTGTGGGTGTTTTAAGGGACTTTGAGATTTTGATGAAGACATTTAGTCTTTACTCTTAAGTCTGTATAACTTGAATAAATAATTCCTTCCCTTTTCACCAATCTCTAACATGGAGAGGTATAATTCTCTGGTGAACGGAGAGGTGAACCTAGTACAGGGGGACCCCAGGAGAAAGGGGGGTCAATTCGGTAGCATTGTGGGACCCTCTTCCCTGGCAGCCAATCAGGGAAAATCGTGGGAAACCACATGTGCAGTAGCTTTAGAGTAAGACAACTACTTGTGCATGCGCAGTAAAAGCCTACCAAAACTAGCCAGGAAAGATCTGCCCTGTAAGAATAGAGTCCCTCCAGCCCATGAGGTCAATCTCTGCTTGGAGTTGGCCTGCTCCCATGTTCTCTGCTATGAACTCTGGGTGTTCGGTTCAATTCTTTGTCCCGACCACTGAGAACCTGGTTACCTGTGCCCACCTGCGACAAGTGGAATGCACTGGGTCGGGGCACTTCCTCCGCAGGCCTCGTCTGGGGTTGGGGCTGGGCCTGCAGGACTAGGACACCCACCAAAGACACCCGTCCTGGCTCAGCAAAGACCTGGCAAGGGCCTCGCACACAAAAACCGAACTCACACCTCCAGACAGAGAGAGCTGTGTCTGGGGTGAGCTCAGGCGAGCGGAAGGTGGGCTTCAGAAGTGGAAGGTTCCCACCTCTGCCAGGCCCACTTGCCCACTTGCCCTTATCCTTATCTCGACCACTACATAACATATTAAGCATCTACTGTAAGTCTGGCAAGAGGAATGGGACAGACCCCTGCACTCCGGTAACAGGGTGCAGCCAAGAGGGGGGACCCCAAATAGGGATTTGGAATGGGGCCCAGAACTCAGGGTGTCCAGGAAATATTAGGGTGTCCTCACCCCTTCCCCTACAGGTGTGGGTTGGGGGAAGGGACAAATGGAGCAGGGCCATTGAGAGCCATTTTGTACAGCAATAGCCTTGCAGCTAACCTCTGACGTGGTCATTTAACACATCTATAACCTTTAACTGGTTGCATAGATATGTTAAATAGCTGTGGCCATGCTCTGAGCCAGGGGGACCGAAGGAACTTCCCCACCAAGATGTAACTGGGGCAGGTCCCCCGAGTTATAGCGCCTGCGTGAGAGTTTGGAGATGATTGGCTCCACGACAGGGGGCCACGCCTGCCCAGACTCATGATGGCAGCCCAGTAAAGCTGGAAGAATGTGAGAGTGCTGGCAAGTGTAGCCAATTGTGGGAGGAGTTGGAAATGGGGCTGCAGAGGAAGATCAGTGCGGGGATTTAAACTGAGACGCAGCAGCCATTGTGGGGAGAACCACGCAGTTTTGGCTGAGTGGAGACTCCTGCAGCCATTGTGCCAAGAGGACCACTCGGCTTTGCCAGAGTGGGGACCCCTGCAGCTTTAGAAGGGGGAACCACCACCCGGCTTTAGCAGAGACCCCAGCAACACAGCTCATGGTGCCGGGAACTGAGGGAGGCCTACCAGCTGAGATGGATTACTGAGAAGAAGCGGGGGCTGCCTGAGCCATGGACTTCTATTTCTTTTCCTGAGATACGGTACCCCAGACTGGGCAAAGGGGGAAGGAAGGACTGTGTGTGTTTGTGGGTGTTTTAAGGGACTTTGGGATTTTGATGAAGACATTAGGTCACTACTTTAAGTCTGTACAGCATTAAATAAACATTTCCTTTCCTTTTCACGAATCTCTGGCTTTGGGAGACGTCTTTCCTCTGGCGGCAGACATAATGAACCTGGGGGGGCACCTTTCGGTAATAGTGTATCTTCCCAGGCCCCCCCCTTGGTGTTCTGTGACACTCCCACACCTTCTAGCCCAGAGGGTTCAGGCCCAGCCTGCAGAGCCCTCAGCAGAGGCACAGGCCTGACCACCCACACCCTCACTCACACACTCACATGCTCACACCCATACTCACTGCCACTGACACATAAACACATACTCTCCACACTCATACAATCCCACATACTCACCCACACTTACTGCCACTCACACCTGCACTCACACACACACACACACACACACTCCTTCACCCAAAGCAGCCCTGCTCTCACTGGCTTTACATCCCCAGCTTTCTGTAAGATTTTACTTAAGCGGAGGTTCTCTCTCTTTCAAGACTCAATAACTGGTGCTTTGGCCCAACTCTGTCTGTCTGCAGATCGGCACACCGAGATGGGAGCAGGGACCCAGCCTGCCCGAGATCACACAGCTGGCGTCCCGCGGAGCTGAGGCCAGCGCGCAGGTGCGATGGATCCAGGCTGCCTGCCCCCGGGGAGAGCTGAGCTCGCCGGAGAGTCGGGTAAACACCACAGGCGCCTGACTAGTGCAGGTGGCAGACCGGGGTCAGAGGAGAAACCAGAACCAAACCCGAGGGCCGCTGGAGCACAGGGAAGGAGACCACCCCGACAGAGGCCTCGGGTGAGCAGGGAAGGCCTCCTGGAGGAGGGGGACCTTGAACAGAGCTCCGGATGAGCCGCAATGGAAGGAGAGAGGACAAGGATGTCACAGGTGGGTGGCAAGTTCCAGGAGCGAAGGGTCCTGTAAAAACTGTGCACCATCTATGTGCCGGACTCTGTGTGAGGGTGCGGCGCACACTGGCTTGTTGAGCTCATCACGCTCCCCTGTGCTGTGGCTGCTATTGTAGCTGGCGACACCCCCACGTCACCGACTGGGAAACTGAGCATGACTTATTTAAGCCTCACGTTCAGTAAGCAGCAGGGCTGGGATTCAAACCCAGGAGGTCGGGCCCAGTGCCTTGGGTCTAACCCCTGTGCCACAGGAGACTCTGGGCAGTAGAGGCTGCAGAGCTGGCCAGCCTCGGGCAAGGAACGGCCTTTGGATCTGAATGTTCCTTTTCCCGGAGAACCCAACGGTGGCTTCTGCATCAGAAAGTGACACATGCAAAGTGCCTTATGAGTCAGAGAGCCAGGAACAGGGTGCCCCGAAGCTGGGAACACAGGCCTGTTGACCCAGGTGGCTGTCCCAGCGCCCCCTGCATTCCTTCCCTCTGCCGCCCCCATAATCCTAGCCTTATCGCTTCAAGACCGAACATCTGGGGCCCCTCCCTCAGAGCCGATCCCCAGGGCCTCTGCCAGCTGTAATCCAGTCACCACTCACAAGCCTCTAGTGGGGCCAGTTCTCCATAGCAGCGATGCACAAAGAGTGTGCTCCTTAGGGCCCCCGGGACGGCATCCCCTGGGACAGCATCACCAGAGATGCTGGTTTAAAATGTTGATTCCTGGGTCCCACCCTGACGTCGCTGCGTCAAATCTCTGCAGGTGAGCTGACCTATTTATACGTCTGCATTATCAGGGAGCTCCCCAGGAGATCCTGGGGCTTACCAGATTTGAGAACCACTAGCCCAGGAATGAGATCCGCTGAACTCCTGTGTGAAACCATGACGAACTTGTGGGGGAGACCCAAAGACACACCAGCCACAGGCAGCTTGGCGGCTGGCAAGGGAGGGTGAGCCTGGCCCAGTTCTACGCCCAGTGTTGCTGCTTCCTATCTGGGTGACCTTGGGCCCCGGCCATCACAAAGCCTCACTCTGCCCAGCTGCCAAATCGTCAAAAACTGTAAGGGTCTGAGGTTTATTCTTTTTGCAAGCTCACAAGTTAGGCTGCCACATGTAGCCTGGCAGAACACCTGAGATGCCTAGGTCAGAGTCAAGGACTTCGCCCCCCACAGCACAGCAGGCAGCTGGAGATTCGTGTTTGCATTGACTCCTCTTGCCCTGCCCCCCAATACCACGGGACCGTGCAAAGCTGGACCCAGCTGGGTGCTCCATTATGCACTGGGCTTTGCATCGCAACTTAGAAACCCCAAGCTTTGGAAAACCAAATCTTTTATCATTGGTTGGCAAGCAAACCTGTCTGATCTTTGTGCCAGGAGGGGAAACACCATTGTTATTATACAGAACAATGGGAGAAAAAAAAAACCTGCCTGTACTCAAGAGGGAGATGCTATCTCTCTCTGCCTTCCAAGGCAGATCACAGAAACATCCTTGAAAAGACAGACCAGAACAAAGGCTGTCAGCCTCTCTGGTTGCAGGACAGAAATGCAAGATATCCATGGAGAATTAGCTCCCAATACAAATGAGAATATTAACATTTAAAAGCTTTGTATGATCCCTGACCAGTGTGGCTCAGTTGGTTGGGTATCATCTTGCAAAGCGAAAGGTCCCGGGTTCTAATCCTGGTCAGGGTGGCATGTACAGCAGGCAACCGATCGGTGTTTCTCACAGCACGTTTCTCTCCCTCTCTGTCTCCCACTCTTCCCCTCTCTCTTTAAATAAGTGAAGTCTTTTTTTCTTAAGATTTTTATTTTATTTTTTTTTAGAGAGGGAAGGGAGGGAGAAAGAGAGAGAAACTTCAATGTGCGGTTGCTGGGGGCCATGGCTTGCAACCCAGGCATGTGCCCTGACTGGGAATTGAATCTGCGATGCTTTGGTTCGCAGCCCACACTCAATCTACTGAGCTATGCCAGCCAGGGCAATAAGTGAAGTCTTTTAAAGAAAAGAAAAGAAAAGCTTTAAGGGAGATGGAGTTTTAAAGCTTTAAATCAATCACATGACCTAAAATTACTGAGAATAGGAGGGATAATTACAGAGGAGATAAGATTAAGCAGGCAAGTATCTAGAGGGAAAAGTGATACACAGGAAGCCTTTCGTAGCAGAAATTACGGGAACAACAAGGGGAAACTCCTTGCAACCTACTTCATGGGCCAAAGGCTAGTGTCCTTAAGACATACAAAAAGTTCCTACAAGTAACTAAGAGACCAACAACCCAGGAGGAATAAAAGAGCAAGAATATGAACAAATATTTCGCAGAAAAGACACTGGCATTCGGGCTGCCGGTCACTACCAAATCCAGCAAGTAATGACAACGATTGAATCTTTTTAAAAATATATATATATTATTGATTATGCTATTACAGTTGTCCCATTACCCCCCTTCACTCCCCTCCACCCTGCACACCCTCTCCCACCCACATTCCCCCCTTTAGTTCATGTCCATGTGTCATAAGTTCTTTAGCTTCTACATTTCCCATACTATTCTTGCCCTCCCCTGTCTATTTTCTACCTACCATCTATGCTACTTATTCTCCGTACCTTTTCCCCCTCTCTCCTCCTCCCACTCCCCTGTTGCTAACCCTCCATGTGATCTCCATTTCTGTGGTTCTGTTCTTGTTCTAGTTCATTACTTAGTTTGTTTTGTTTTAGGTGTGGTTGTTAATAATTGTGAGTTTGCTGTTGCGATTGAATCTTTTATGGGCGCTTTATTCAGATGGCTGGCGATCTGAGGAGACAGCGGGTTCATACCCTAACAAACCATCTTCCCTTCTCTTTCCTGGCCAGATCTTTTATAAGGGGGTGGGGGAGGACAGACAAGGTGCGGTGAGGGCTTTGAGATTCAGAAGCTGCAACATTCCTGTCCTGGGCAGTTAGCTGGTCCCAAGGGGGAGGGGTGGTCATCTGCTCTCCCTGGAACACAGGGTCAAGGTTCAGATGTCCCCAGGTGGTAATCTTCTGTCAGTGCCCTAGGAGGTCGGCTGTTTTTCCCAGGAGTCAGGACTTATCTGTAGTTTCTGAAACAAAAGCTTTAACATACACATTACTTGCTAGACTCATAACTTTTTACCTTAAGCTAAAATTTTCCAGGTCTTGAGTCCCCTATCAAAAGGATACACAAATTGCATACGACATAGGAAATTGTTCAACCTCACTCACAATAAAAGAGATGCAAATTTGGACTACCATGAAATCACATTCTGTACCTGTCAGACGGGTAACAATGAAAAGCAACAAATAACGTATTTGTTGAGAATACGGGACAATCCGCACCTTCTGAGTAGCAGTAAAATCAGCATCCACTCTATGAAGAGTGATTTCCAATATCTACCAAAGTTTTACGTGTAATTTTTGATCCCTTGGCCTCTCTCAGGGGTTTACCTTTCAGGTGCACTTTTGCATACGTGCAAAGTGACGTGATGTCCTGGGACGCTCACCGCAGCTTTACCTGTGATTTCGAAACACCTGGGGATCTGTCGCACACACCTCCCCACGTCTGAAAGAACAAGGCAGCTCTATGTGGGACCGATAAAAACAGTTTTCAGAATATTTACTAAATGAAAAAACTTGCAGAGCAGTGTGTATAGGCTGCCGCCCTTCACACGTGCGGTCCAGGGAAGAACACAGACCGTGTGTGTGTGTGTGTGTGTGTGTGTGTGTGTGTGTGCGCGCGTGCGCGCAGTGCACAGGGTCCCCTGAGGAAGATGCACGGGAAAGTGACAGCGCAGGACACTTCTTGGGCAGGGACCTGAGCAATTAGACTCAAAGGGTGCAGGAAGACTAGCATGTCATCGTACACTCTGTACTTTTAAATTTTTATGCTGTGTTACAGTCTTCCGAAAACTACACATAAAGGCTTCCAAATCTGTATATAAAATAGATGGTCTTCCAAAAACTAAATATACCATACATTTGTAACAAACAAACACCTGGGCGTTCAGATCTGCCATGAAATGGGGATGGGCTGGACACTCCCACTCCCCCAGGCCTGGGCCCGGCAGGGCCTCAAGCCCGCAGACCCGCTGGGTCTCGGCGGCCGCAGGTGGCCTCCCTGAGCAGTTCCCGGCTTCACGCCAGAGCCACGCCCAGGGAGCACCCTCCCCGTCCCTCCAGCCCCAGGCGCGCACTCCGAGACAGACCCAGGGCGTGGTGAGACAGACCCAGGGCGTGGTGCGGAGTGCAGGGATGAAAGAGACCCGGGTCCAGCCCCTGTCAGCTCCCCTTTGAGTTGGACAACGTAGAGGTGGTGAAGCAGGAGACAGCATAGGAAGAACTCGGAGACTGCAGTACGGTCACTGGCCAGCACTCAGCACCCTGGTTGCCAGGAAACGCCTTTTACCAATTAGGTGGGATAAATAGTAAACTGAGGCAGGGAGGAGGAAGCAGACGAGTCTCACATGCCAACTCAGCAGTCCTGAGCCTGGTCTGATAATATTGCCAGGTGTTCCAATATCACAAGAATCACTATACTAGCAAGAAAGAAGGAAAGTTCTTGAAATTCTATGTAACATTTCCACTATCTGGGAAAGAAAGCCTTGAAACTGTGCTTTCATCCCAAGGCCTGAATGCGGGAGAGGGTCCCCGGTGCCCAAAGAAAGACCCCATAAATAACTTCAGAAATTGCCCCAATTTTAATTAACTGCCTCCTGTCACGTATTTGTTTTACAACAGGATGACCAAATGGAGTCTGGAGCAGGATAAGAATTCGGGCGGACAGACCCCCATTCATCCCCAAATTTGGGTAGTCACATTTCCCAGAAAAGCTGGCGCCACATTTACCTGTTAATCAATATGTAACTTTTTTCCCTCCTATCCCACCAACTATATAAGTCCGGAGAACAAAGGTCTCTCTCTCTCTCTCTCTCTCTCTCTCTCTCTCTTTCTCTCTCTTTCTCTTTCTCTCTCTCGGCTCTTGGGCCACAGGGCCTCTGGCCACCCAGCCTCAGGCTGCCCAGGGTCTTGCCACCTGGTTTCCAGCCGCTCTTGCTTTTCTCACCCTGCTTTGCTCTGAAACTTTCCCTTTCACCCCCTACTCTACCCGGCCCTGTTCTCTTCCACGGAATCGGATCACTAATAAACTGATTACCTGCTACTAAATTTGCTGATATGCAATTCTTGACACGCGTCAGCAAGAAGAACCAGGTCTCCCGTCAACAGTGGGACAGGGGAAGATGCTACCAATAACCACAGAACAGGCGCAAGGCCGTGCAGCACAGCAGCGCCGCAGCTAAGACTGATGAGTGGCCGTGTACGAGGCGGCGACGGGCTTGGCCTTTGAAATGGGCTGCGCCTCGGCTGCACAGCCGCTCTGCAGCGGGCCCGGTTATTCAACCTCCCGAACTTCCCTTCCCTCCCCATAAAGTGTGGCCTGGGGTGAATGCGTGGGCCCGCTACTTAGTTTAAAGCTGTGTCACTCAAGGCCATTTACTTAACCTCTCAGAACCTCCCGGTCTCTAGTACCACCAGCCTCAGGGTTTGTGGGGGATAAATGAAAACACTGCCTGGCATGGGGTCCTGTGGGGGGCAGGGGGCGCAGGGGTTAATAGAGGACACCACTGAGGGGCCAATCTCAAGGGTCGGACTGGCCAGAACCGGGGCCCAAGTAAAGCAGTGGCATGAACACCGCAAACCGTGATGCTACCCTGGTACCCAGCAGGGTACCGCCATGCCTCAGGGGGCAGTGTTTGCCACCTCAACCCCGAGGCCAGCTGAATTTACTTGGAAACGGAGCAGGTGCCGGCCTTTCAGCTTTTCCTGGCCTGTTCCCCCAAACCACACCTTCCCGCCACCACACACCAGGTGCTGTCCCCTCCACCTGCAGGGCCCTCCCCCCCCCCCGGGGCCTCCACCCGTCTAAACACTATCCCGTCTCCAGCAACCCCTGGGTCAGGCAGATAATGCCCCCCCCCCAAAAAAACTGCACTTGTCCTCACCCCCGGAACCCGTGAACAGGAGCCTGACCTGGCAGAGGGAGAGACTGTCCTGGGCTGTCTCAGCGGGCTCAGGGTGACCACAAGGGTTCTAATAAGAGGGAGGCAAGGCGGTCAGTCAGAGAGAGGAGACGCGACCATGGAAATGGAGGTTGGAGGGACCCGCTTTGAAGGAGGAAGGGGCCACGAGCCAAGAAATGCCGGCGCCTCTAGAAGCTGGAAAAGGCGAGGCAACACACCCTTCCCTAGAACCTCCAGAAGGAACACGGTTCGGCCGGCACCTTGGGTTGAGTCCATGAGACCCATTTCCCATCTCTGCCGGGAGCCACTGAATTTGTGCTAGGGAACTCATACACGACATTTTCCTTACAGCCTCTGTGACCCTGGCACCCTGGCCACCCCACTCCTTCCCTCCTCTGAGCCCAGCTGGCGCTCTCTCTGAGTCTCTCCTGGGCTGCGTCCCCCCACCTGGAGGGAGGTAGTTGGCTCCTATCTCCTCTACTGGATGATGAGCATCTTGAGGGTGGGGCTTGCTATTCATGCGTGTGTCCCCCATGGTCCTAAGAACTTTCCCGGGTACTTTTGGGTTCACTCCTGCCCTCTCTGCCTTGCTGTCTGCTGGGAAGGCTGGTCACTGGTGGACCAGCCCACAGGAGCCAGCTGCAGGAGATGCACGGGAAGAGAGAGGCTGGCGAACTGTGCCCTCTGCAATACCCCTGCCCCACAGCCAGCCCTCCTCAGCTCCCACCACGCTGCTCCCTCCGCCCCTGTCCCTTCAGCTTCTCCCCAGGTGCAGACCCACCCCTGCTTCCATCCACACGTGCAAATCCTTCTCTCGAGTCCATCCAGTTTCCCCTGAGAGCCCACCTCATCCTGCGGGCACCGCGACCCAAGTGTGGCCGACATCCAAGTGGACGGTCAGCTGCAGTGGGCCTGGTACGCATGCAGACATTGCCTTGGTCTGTCTGTCTGTCTGTCTTAAATGGTGACCTCACAGGGCCTGAGAGAGGCCCTCAGAGCCTTCTCTTCTACCCCCAGCTGTCCACGCGGGGGGGCGGGGGAGGGAAGGCCTTAGCGAGAGGCAGGAGCAGGAGAAGGCAGGGAGCAGAAGGCAACCCGGCGGGTTCTCTGGACCCCACTCCCCACACAGGCCCTCCCACTGAGAGGTCCCAGGCCACATTCCTCCCCAGCTCCTGGGGCAGCTGGCCCCACCCCGGGCCCTCCCCTCCTTCCACAGGGCTGCCTCCCTGCCTGCTCTCTCCGTGCCTGGTGCCTCCAGGCTGGGCCACCCCTGCACTCCCTCCTTCCCTCCGCGTTATCTGAGCTGGTCAGTGACTCACCCCACAGCCCTCAGGGCCCTGCCCTGCCCCTGACCCGACCAGCCCCGCCCCTCTCAGCTCCTACGCCTGAGCAGTGCTCGCCCCACGCTCTGCACCCCACAGCCCAGGGAAGCTCAGCCCACGCAGAGCTCTGACGGCGCTACATCTACAACACCGGCAAGACTGTAGACCAGGCACCAGGACAGAAATCCATTGTGTCTGTCTCTTGCAACAACCTTCAAGGAAGGTGACACGGGTCACAGATGAGGGTACTAAGACACAGAGACGTTAAGGGACTGGCCGAATGCCACGAGGGCCGGTAGCAGTGGGGCTGCCTTCCACTGGAGCACACCCTCCCATTCGCCCTGAACCCAGCTGGGGCAGCGGAGGGGGGGGGGGGGACGCCCTGTGTTCAAGGGCTCTAGACGTAGAGTCTGAAGCCCTGGATCCAGTCCTTGCTCCTTCTTAGCAGCCAGCTGGCCTTGGACAACCCCTCAGTCTCTGAGAAACTCTTTTCCAGACTAGGGACAGGGGCAATGATCCTGCCGGCCCAAATTCCCAGGCCAATCAGAGGCTAAGAGAGAAAAGAAGGTTCCAAGGTGGGTCAGAGACTGGCATCTGAGCCACAGAAAAGGGGGGTGATATCCACTTGGGAGCCAGCCGCAGCTTCCTACCTGGCAGGCTGCTGGCCACGCCCCAGAGTTTGCAAGCTCCCCAGCCTCCTGCAGCAGCAGCCTGTGTCCTCAGCACGCAGAGCTCGTTCTGCCGGAGCTGCTGGCGTCCAGGGCCCCACCGACTCGGTACCACAGCGCCCCCTGGAGGCCATATGGGGACTCGCTGCCCTATCACCAGGTGGACTTCCTACTACCTACCAGCCTCTTTCTATCTGCCCAATTCTGAAAGAAGAGGGGGGTCGGAGGGGGCCAAGTCTGGGCGAAGGCAGGCCCTCCACCCAGGCTACTCCCTGACCTTTCTGCGAACAGCAAACGGGCACTGAGCTGAGAAGTGGCTCAAGAGAAAGAGCCCCAGGAGGACTGGGTTCCAGCCGTGTGGCCCTGTGTTTGTGTGTTTCTCCTGCAACAAAGAGTGAAAGAGACCGTCTCCCTGAGGGAAGGTGCTCCTACCGCAGCTCTGAACTGTAGTTTATCCGACACTGTTTCCTTGAGAGTAAAATGGCCACAAGGGGCCGCTGCAGCCACAGCTGTGGAGAATCTGGAGCGGACGGAAACCGCCCACACCTGGCCGGCTGAGCGCCCCGCCCCACCACGCCCCTGCCTCCGGTCAGCCCAGCCTCCCTCTCCCCTGTCCCAGCCAGACTCGCTGGACTCACAATGTAACCCAAAAGTCTAAAAACTTCCCGGAGTAGAGCAGTCCCCTTGATCCACAGTCCTATTGTCAGTGGAGTTTAGTGGGACACCTGGGCTCACACACTCAGAGAATATACCAAGGGGAGCTGAGAAACGCCCTTGAATCCCTTGCAAGGGGCGAAGAAAACATGCCGGGAAGAAACCCCACCAGCGGTGGAATCAACCCCACGCGTGTGGGCTCCCATCCAGGAGAGTCAGGAGTCTCCCACTACCTGTCGGTCCTTAAACCAGACACAGGTTGCTCTCAGAAAGCCAGCTTCCTCCCAGAACCACTGGGTGGGAGGGTGCCCTTTGGGAGAGGGGGGGCGTGTTTGGACCAGGGGCCAATGCTCCTTTCTCCCCCAGCTGTTGCCTGCACAAACAGGAAATGGGGGCCACAGACTCGGAGCGGCATCCCAGGCTGCTCCAGACACTGGGCGTGAGACGGGGGCACGGCCTGGGCCCTCCCTCCGTCCCACCATATCATCTCCCGGGCTCCGCAATGCGCCGGCTGGCTCTTCCCTCCAGACCTCCGCCCTCCCACCACCCCTTCCACCGCCACCCGCACACCTCCACGCGTTTCCCCTCCCACCCGCTGCCCCTCACCCTACCCCCAATCCTCGCCCACGGCCAGAGTGGGCGCCCCTGCCCTGCGCTCCTCAGCCTGGACTCCTGCCCTCTCAGGGCCCTCAGCTCGCTGGACGTTGTTCCTGTCCACCTGTGTGTCCCTGGGGGGTGGCGAGGTCCGTGATTGGCTCCTGTCCTCCCACCTTTCCCACTGGACTCACTCACAACAGTTGTGGTTGGGGGAGGGGGGATTATTTTATACTTCCCAGGGGGCAATACCAGGGAAAATTCACAGGCCTGGAGAATTCCGGAAGGGGCTCCGGTTAGGGAGTCTAACGAAGAGGATGCTCTGAGCAAGCCTCCCCTCCCCCATCACACGCAAACCCACATACATTTTTTTTTTTGCACCTCAAATACGATTATTGGCTGTGGGTTTCAAATTTTCTTTGTTTCCTTTGTATCTACCCCAGGTGTCCATCGGGGCTGACAGGAGTTCCCTGGGAAAGACCCCAGCATGTCCCCGTCACATTGGAGGGAACAGAGGGGATGTGGTTGGTTCGTGTTTGGACCTGAGAGAAGGGAGAAGTGTCTGGCCCGAGAGGGTGGTGACCGCAGAGATGGACACGGGACCCGGGGCAGAGAAAACTCAGAAAAATCACGCATCACGGATTTCCACGGCTCAGAAAGTCCATGAGCACCGCCCGCACCAGCGCCCTCGTCCTCTCATTGTCCCTCCCTTTGCTCCACACACTGGGCGCCTCACGTGAGGAAACCCAGGCTCAGAGACAACAAATAACTGGGCCCTGGCTGGCGTAGCTCAATGGATTGAGTGTGGGCTGCGAACCAAAGCATCGCAGGTTCGATTCCCAGCCAGGGCACATGCCTGGGTTGCAGGCCATGGCCCCCAGCAACCACACATTGATGTTTCTCTCTCTCTCTTTCTCCCTCCCTTCCCTCTCTAGAAATAAATAAGTAAAATCTTTAAAAAAAAAAAAAGGAAAGAACTGGGACAGGACTCACTGTTCACTCGTGGCTTCCCGCTTCCGAAGAAGAGGACTTCGCAGCCTACCCGCTCACGGGAGGTGTGCATCCCTGCGCTGTCGGTGGGAGGGGTCCGTCTCCGCCCCCAGTCAGTGCGCTGGGAGTGTTTCAGTCATCGGGAGACGATCGGGTGGGCTGAGAGTCAGACCAGTTCAGATTCTTGGGCAGCTGAGTTCCAGCACGCGTCTCGGCCTCAGGTGCCCATCTGTGAGGCGGGGCGGTTGTGGGATTTAAGGCAGACGGCTCATGTAAAGGCCCCCCACAGTCTCAGTGCAGAAGAGGTCCAGATGCAGTAAGGATGAGGTCCAATGGGATGACAATGACCGTGAGAACTGCAGTTGTTATCCATGGAGAGAAGGGGGGACCTTCTCAGACCTCATCCGTTGCAGAGTGTGGTGGGCGCACGCGGGGGGCAGTTGAAGCGGTGACGCAGCCTGGCCCTGCGGTGACTTGGAGAAGGCAGTCTGATGGGCGACACTCCCCAACGCCTGTGCAGCGTCCAACCAGAACGGGGGCCGCTGGTCTTCCTGCCAGGCTCAGCCTCTCCTAGGAAGGGTTCGTCTGGGACAAGGATGGCGGGCCGTTCTTGGCCAATAGAGGCTTGTCCCCCACCGTAGGGCTAGAAAAGGTGCAAGCAGAGGGGGTACAGGCCTATCTGCCGCCCTCAGGATACAGTTCAGTCTGCTCACTTTCACTGAGCAAACCCTCCGTGACTTGCTCGCCACCAACCCTCCCAGCCCCCCTCGCACTCTGCACTGTAATATGCTCCAGTTCCCTCATTGGCGCCAGACTCGGTGTCACCTCCAGGCTCAACAGGTGCAGGTTCCCATGCCCAGGACACTCACCTCCCCGACATGCACGCACACACACGGCAACCCCATCAACTATCACCCGAATAAATCCAACCCCTCGTTCGGGTCTTGTCCCACCCCTTCCTCCACGGGATGTTCCCTGCACCCCAAGACTGGGTTCAACACTCCTGCTGTGCGCCCCGAAGGCCCTGGACGTCCCCAGAGTGGGAGTCAGTCGGCACGCTAAGTTATGGTCGCTGCCACAGGTGGCCTCCCCCATGGGACCCTCGAAGGCGGAGCCTGTGCTCACCTGGGCCATGTCACAGCCCCGACAACCAGCTGTGCGCCAGGCACAGAGCAGGCCCTCGGTGAGCACGCGCTGAGTGAAGGGGTCGGCGGCCTGCTGGGGGTCGGCCGGGGCCGCACGTGGGGCTCCCGGTGAGCGGGGGGCGCAGAGGAGCTAACCTTCCTCTCCATCGCCACTGCCCCTTTGGGCCTCAAATGTTTCTCTTTCTTACCGGCTTTGTGTTTTCTTGATTCATTTCCCTAAAGTTTCCTTCTTTTTTTTTATTATTTATTTATTTTTTAAAGATTTTTTATTTATTTTTAGAGATGGGAGGGAGAAAGAGAGAGAGAGAGAGAGAAACATCAATGTGCGGTTGCTGGGGGCCGTGGCCTGCAGCCCAGGCATGTGCCCTGACTGGGAATCGAACCTGCGATGCTTTGGTTCACAGCCCACATTCAATTCACTGAGCTATGCCAGCCAGGTTTTTTTTAAAGATTTATTTATTGACGTGAGAGAGAGGAACGCCGATTTGTTGCTCCGTTTATTTACACATTCATTGGTTGCTTCTTGTATGGGACCCGACGGGGGATCCAACCCACAACCTTGGTGTACAGGGACCGCGCTCCCTCTGTCTTGATGAAAGTTTCTCTGGCAGTCCCCAGCGTGTCCTGGTCACGCTGAGCGGAGCAGATGAAAGGGGTCACGCTTTACTGGGTTTGACCTGATTTAAGGTGAAAATGGCATATCCCTGAGGCTCCAGGCGCTGGTGGCACCTAAGGCGGATCGAGAGATTCCCGGGCAAGAGACTCCCAAAAGCTCGGGAAGAGCAGAGCCATCCCGAGTTGTCTGAGTGTCAGCACCAGACAGTGTTGGCACGGACGGGTCTCAGGGGCCGTCTGGCTCGACACCCCCATTCCTCCCTTTGTTGCTCCGTCATTCATTCCTTTGACAAGCTCAAAGTGCCCTCACAGGGGAAACTGAGGCCAGAGATGGCCAAGCTCACTCTTAGTCGGTTGCAAGGTTGTTTTAAGGCGGTTCTTCCCTGCTCTCCAGAAGCCCACCTCCGACCGTAGAAAGAGCTAAACATTGTCAGAGCCCAGGTGGGCGGTGCTGGGACTGCAAGATCTGGAGTCAGGCCAGCTTTGGGCAAGTCGCTTCCCTTCTCTGAGCCTCAGTTTCCTCGTCTGTAAGTTAAAGCAACGGTGGCTGCCTCTCCCAGGTGGGAAACGCCAGTGAGACGGCATGCGGAGCCTGTCCCTCACCTGCCCCAGGAAGCCTCTCCGATCTCCGTCGCTGTGTCGGGGCGTCCTCAGGTCCCACAGCCTCCGTCCCCTCGGTCACCCACTGTGCTCACCGCCCAGCAATTACCCGTCTGCTTACCTGCCTCCGGCACTAGACTGTGAGCCCCATGGAGAAAGGGAATGTGTCTGTTGTTCGACATTTTATTTATTTTCAACCCCTGCCACAGAAAAGGCGCTGATAAATACTAGTCAAATGGATGAACAGGTAAATGAATGATCTGAAGAAGGAATTAAAATAGGTGGAGCCCTGGCCAGGTAGCTCAGCAGGTTAGAGTGTCATCCTGATACACCGAGGTTGCGGGTTCGATCCCCGGTCAGGGCGCCCAGAGGACTCAACCAATGAATGCGTAAATAAGGGGAGCACCAAACTGAGGTTTCTCCCTCTCTCTCTCACATCAACAAAGTCAATCAGTCACTCCATCCATCGATAAAATAAACGGAGATCCCAGTCGGATGTGTTCAC